GGTGGTGATGTTCATTTGTTGTTGCTTTTGTTGCTGTTGGTGGTGGTGGGGTTGCTGCTGTTGTTTTTTGTGATGTTGTTGTTGTCATTGTTGCAAGTAGTAGTTGTACTACTAAGCAACGGCAGCAGCAGTAGTAGTAACAGTAGTTGAAGTGGTATTTTTTTGGTAAGTGTTTTATGGCGCTCGTCATTGTACAAGGTCATATGAGTGCGCGCACATTAGTAATAAGTGCAGTAGCAGTAGTAGTAGTAGTAGTAGTAGTAGTAGTAGTAGTAGTAGTAGTAGTAGTAGTACCACCACCACCGCAACAACAGCAACAACAACTGTAAGATTATATATCCTACCACGAGCTGTCCCAAGCCAATGGCCGCCATGATCCCCTGACACTTCCAAGGCTCGGCCATTCCATCTGGCAGAGGGGTGTACAGGTAGGCCGCCAGGACCGCAAAACCCAGTGACGTCACCACAAACATTGGCTTGAGCAACATGGCGACTGCGGTTTCTATTTGAGTAAAGAGAAGCACATAGATACAATAATGGGCATTAGTGCTGGGGAAAAGTAAAAGTGGCAGACAGAAACAACAGAGGGAAAGTATACCCCCGGGGCAGTGCCACTGACTAGTGTCTTTAGGCCATTCCCAAAGGGGGGACATTTCTCATTCAAGCACAGTAGAATTGTAAATGGGCTGACTCATGTCACGCTCATAACTGTGCCTGATCTGCAACAGGGAACTGCTGCTTTTTTCTTTCCTGATCCTTACTATTGTCATTTTCTTCTACTTCTTTTGTATGTTTGTCACTCTCTTGTGACCTGCAATTTCCGGGGTGCATTGATAGTCGAAGCAGGCCTTGAGCTGTTGAAGCTAGAGAGGTGAGCAGTCTAAGTCTGATTCCCTGTAAAGACTTCTTTGTCGACACCCACCCCTTGGCGCTCATATGACCTTATTCAGTTGCGAGCGCCGTAAAATCCTCTACTACAAAAAAGAGGTACAATAAAGAAGTAGGACCTACCAGTCGCTACCCTAGGACTACACAGTTCTATCTGCTAAGTACCTAATTTTGAGGCATTTGATGTGAAAGACTTTGAGTTTCACAATATGTCAATTTTTTTTAGTGCACTCTTTTGAATATCTTGAAAACGACTTCGAATAGTCTTACAATTTTAACAGTGCTGGCAGAACATTTTGTCTCTGACCTCATGGTCTTAGTAGGCCTAACTCAAAAAAGGCCAAAAATGTCAGATAGAACTTTGTGATTCTGAAGTAGCGCAGTGGCGCCCCCCAACCATTCTCTGTGCCAGTGGGTACTGACTGTGATAAAGCTATTGGTGTGCACCAGGCGTTTCAAACTCGCGCCAACGCGACAATTGAGTCATTCAGGTCGATATTTGGAGGCTTTTACTTGGCATGAAAGTTGATGAATAGCATTAGTGCGGCCTGTGTGTGTTTCTCACTGGCATCTCATTACTGAGGTGTTGCCCTAGATTTTTATTACATTTTTAAGGGGGTTGGAAAGGGGGGGGGAGGGTGTACAAGCTAAACGTCCCGATTCGGCTCAAAATTATGGAATTTGGAATGTACGTATTTTTGGCTTCTTCAGCCTGTCTTAAAGCTATTTCCTCGCATAGGAGCCTCATAAAGCCTTATTTTCCCCTTACCGGACATGTTAGTCACCACCATGTCCCCATAAAGTCAGTCTTTTTTTTCCTTGTCCTGATTTTGGTGCCCGTTTTTGTTGGTTACGTAAAAAGAAAGTAATGGTGCAGATTGTTATATGAAAGGGGAATTGTTGAGTCGGTAATGATGATGATGGTGATGATGATGTTGATGATGTTGTTGTCGATGGTGACGGTAATGGTAATTGTGATGGTGAGCATGAGGATGAAAAGTCAATCTTTTAATTTTCTTTATCGCTCGTTTTCTCAAAACGCGGTTTTCTATACACTTTTTAAACAATAACTCCACCATTTTTCATTCAACCTTCATTATTTTTTTCACAGAATTAAGAGAATAATTATGTAACATGCATGCAAGCTAACAACCAGCTTTCATGAAGTGAGGTATTCGCTGTCTAAGACGACATGTCGACAAAATCCAATATTGCGGCCGTCGTGTCCATGGCAACGAAAGTTTTTCTCAAATTTGATTGCGGATTTGCAGACTCCTCACTACGCTTGTTATACGTGATACATTTGATAAAATGTGATCCACTGAAAAGCGATAAATAGCCTTCAGGTGTGGACGCTCCCCCCCCCCCCCATCCCACATTAACAATCACTATTGGTCTATCAAAGCTATGGCTCGTGACAGAGCTGCCGATTGAGTTTGTTGTCTATTCAGGTGTCCCAAAAACTGCATTTGTCGTTTCCTGATGGTTTTTACCATTGACCGTCCCACGTGGGCTTCATCAAGCACTACCTCATTTAATTTCTTTTCCTTCCACGATACTCTTAGCAGTCTCCTAAGAAACCACATTTCTGTTGCTTCTATTTTATTTTCACTATCTTTAGTGATTGTCCAGCATTCACAGCCGTATAGAAGGGTTGACCAAACAGCATTTCAGGACTTTCATTTCGGTGTTCATTGAGGTGTTTCTATTTTTCAGTGGTTAAGATACCGGATTCATAATCTGAGTTTGTTGGTTCGGAGTTTAAAATTCGCTGCTCAGTTCTGGCCAATGCTGTGTCCTTGGGAAAGTTTGATCTACTTTACACGAATTCCCCTCTCTTCATTCAGGTGTAAACGGGTACATGGCCATAGACAACGAACGCTCTTTTCAGTATGTCGGTGTTCTAGCGTCTTGAAAATGGCAGCTTGCGCAGTATGCTTCCTAGGGAGTTGTTTCGGAATACCATTACCCCCCAAACCCCCCCCCCCCCCAACAAAAAACAAGAAAACAAACAATCAAACAAACAAACAAAACAACAACAACAAAAAACTAAAAAAAAACAACAACAAAAAAACAACAAAACAACAACAACAACAACAACAAAAGAAAAGAAAACATATCATCGAAAACAAACAAGCAACCCCCCCAAACCCCCCCCCCCTCCAAAAAAAAACAACAACAACAAAACCCCCAACTAAAACCAAAAAACCAACAACTAACAACTAATGTACGTGAATTTGCGCCCCCATCGACGCGTTTTAGGTTATTCAGGAGGCGGGCTTTTGACACTGCCTAACATGTCCAACTCGGGTTGAGAAGGACATACCATACAAGCAGAAAACCCGACATACTCGACAACAATTCTTCCCACTCGGGAATCTAATTTTGGTCTCCTGCGAGCGTCAGTGAGGCGACTAACTGCTACACCACAGACGCCGATAGAATGCTGTTTGTAGCCTGTCTAGCCTCCTCCTCCTCCTCCTCCTCCTCCTCCTCCTCCTCCTCCTCTTCTTCTTCTTCTTCTTCTTCTTCTTCTTCTTCTTCTTCTTCTTCTTCTTCTTCTTCTATATCATTATTATTATTATTATTATTATTATTATTATTATTATTATTATTATTATTATTATTATTATTATTATCATCATCACCACCGTCATTATTATCATATTTATTATTACTATTACGATTATTATTAGCCTATTATTATTATTATTATTATTATTATTATTATTATTATCATTGTTGTTGTTGTTGTTGTTGTTAGTTTCAATATAACTATTATTATTATTAACTCTTTTTATCCTGGCAGTACTCCCCTAGACTCTGTACCCGCCCTGTGGCCGCTGCGCCATATGAGTTAGAACTCAGTGTGTATATTTCAAAGTGGTGTATTTCTTCAATTTACTCTTTGGTTTTAAGGAAATTTGGCAGTTATGTTAGAGATTGAATGTAGTATCTGAATATGTATGTGCTTAGGAAAAACAGCAATTTTTATTGCACCATGTAGATTTTAAAGGCGTATTCCACCCTCCAATTTGACCCTGATTGCCGCGCCCACGAATTCCCCTTGATCTTGGGTTCACACAGGTCTACCCCTACCTATACGCTGACCGTCTAGACCCCTACTCATCGGTGCTGCGCGAATCCCAGTAACTGTCCCTTCACCACGATCTGATTTACTATTACTACATGTATTAGATAAGTCTAGTGGGTGTTTGGCGGGTGCTCTGGTGTGGTTTGCTCCGTCTTTCCTATGAAACATTTATCGTCGTTATCTCCTCTTCTTCTTTTTTAATGTTTGTTACTCTCTTGTAGCACCTCAAATCTTCTAGCCCTCATATTATGACCTAAGGCGGTTGCAAGCGCCGTAAAACCTCTACTAAAACTAAATGATAAATCTAAATTCCTGTTCGTTATTATCCACAACGGAATTTATGGGACTTGATTCAGAACCACTTTCATCAACTTAGTCTATTACCCCTCACAGCCCTTCTTGAAGTAATTAATCGGTCATGAACGTGCGTTTCCGGGACATTTTTTCAAGCTTCTACACCCATCAAAAACAAAGAAACCGCTGTTTATTGTCTAATAGAAATATTCAGCACAGAGCTAGCATCGCCGTATATACGTATTTTGGTAGTTACAAGCTAGAATAAACAGAGTTTAATATCATCAATCTTTAACCTTAAATGATCTTCAGCCCAATAATCAATGTTGATACCTTCCTGATAATGCACTGAGTGGTCGGGGTAGCGACTGACCTGGTAGCCATTCGTGGGTTTTGCTAGAGGCTCAAGACCATTGAAGATGAAATGAATGATTGATAGCACTTAGGCTAGTGTGAACACAGCTCGAGGTGCATAATCTATATTATCACTCCAGCAAATCGGATGGCTTTCCGAAACAAATACAACTTCGCAGGAAGCATACATACAGGTGCTAAAACACTAACATACTGACAAGATCTACCGCTATCTATGAATAACGGGCAGGAACTCAGTCACACCTGGGTGAAGTGTGGGAAACTCGTGTAATGAGTAGAGGTGGGCAAAATCCGGATAAATATCCAAAAAATCGGATAATCCTCAATAAGTACATTATCCGAATTCAGACTCTTATTAATTCTCTTTCCTGACCCGTTTGTCGAAATGGGTGCACCAATTCGTTGAAGTGATGCTAACCCATTTGTCAAAGTGGTTTTGACCCATTTGCTGAACCGGTTCATAACATATTATTTACCGAAGAGGTGCACTAATATATTATTCGGATTTTGCTAAAGCGACTCATTGCCCAGCCCTAGTAATGAGTCTTTTTCTCATTGAGGACACGCAGCTTTGGGACATTTAAAAAAAAGAATGGAGCATAATATCTTCGTTATTCATGTAGCTTTTCCAACTCTATTTTTGTGTCTATGAAGTTTTTGTTGAAGAAGGCTGGTAACAACATGCTTACTATGTGCAAAGCAGTGTTTCTGACTTTTGGGTTTTTTTGGTAGGTTTTTTTTACGGCGCTCGCAACTGCATAAGGTCATATGAGCTCGCGGAACACATTAACCATGTTCTGTTGGCGCCGAAGCCTACTCTTACCGATTATGGACCTCCAAGGGATCT